CCCAAACTCGTCACGTGCTAGAGGAGACATTGGCATTAGCAATAAGGTATTAAAGACGAACTCGAAATAATTTTTTTGTCAAACTCTGCCCCCTTAAGAAGAAAATCTCATTCTTTTTTTCTTTTGGGTTCTTGTTAATTTTACTGTGAAGCTCCATGCACTGATTGAGTTTGAGAATTCTGAAGCAGCAGAGAGAGCAGTATGTCAATACATTTAAGCTCCAATACTAAGTTCTTGTTTTACTTGCTTTACCTTTTAGTTAAATCTATTTAGTATTTGAACTAAACAGGTAGAGAAGTTAAATGATGAAAGGAACTGGAGAAAGGGCCTAAGAGTGAGATTGCTCCTTAGACGTTCAGTAAGTCTGATTTTACTCTCTCCTCTCTAATCACTTTTGTTTACACAATGTGCTTTATTATGCTCCAACTTAATTACTCCCTTGATTAATTTTATGAAATGGTGTTTATATTTTACAGCCAAAGTCTGTTCTAAAGAGCAGGAAGTCGGATTTTGATGGGTGTTTTGATGATGAAGATTCTGAATTGACTGAAGACTCTGATGGCAATAATGTAAGCAAATGTCATGGCTAAACTATACAAAAAGTTACTACTTTCTCTTCTGATGGCAATAATGTAAGCAAATGTCATGGCTAAACTATACAAAAAGTTACTACTTTCTCTTCTGATGGCAATAATGTAAGCAAATGTCATGGCTAAACTATACAAAAAGTTACTACTTTCTCTTCTGATGGCAATAATGTAAGCAAATGTCATGGCTAAACTATACAAAAAGTTACTACTTTCTCTTCTGATGGCAAGTTTTGTATATGGAGGATTTAACATATATACACTTCTAATGTAAAGAACTTTTACACTATTTATGCGTTTTAACACGTCGTAGCAGGAAACCTGCCTTATCCTTGGAAGCTAAACTTGTGTTATTACAAATGCTAGGTTGAAGAAAGCATGGCAACAAACAAGAAAGGATGGAATAAAGGGCGGGGGAAACTAAGATCGCGTACTCAAATTTATGGGGGACGGGGACTGCTTGCTGCACTTCCACAATGCAGCAGTAGTCCTAGCCTAAGTGAAGGACCAGTGAGACAGGTTACAAAAGGGCCAAGAATGCCAGATGGAACTAGAGGTTTCACAATGGGAAGAGGGAAGCCTCTCGCAAGTACTAATGTTCAATCCAGACTACATGTGGCCTAAATGGAACTTTGATCAATTTTCCGTTGGTTGCTCTGCTCTATTCATTAGAAAATAGTCACCATTTTTTTTTTTGGATTTCCGAGTTTAATTTTTGGTCGAGAAAATAATGTTATGTTCTAGTTTTTCCAACTGTTTTGAGCATATTTATTCAACATATATAGCAGTATATAGGTCCTATGGTCCATGACGAAGGTCATGGGCTTTCCCTTTAGACTATTAGTAACTTGTTTTTGTCCTGGAATTTATCTTTCATCAGATATTTATACATCCGAGATTTTGATTCAGCTTCTATTTTTTCGTTATTATTCATGATCTACCATTTGTATGCCTTTGCTTCTCCTGAGTCCAACAGCAGAGATACATGTTGCGGTAATTTAATTATCAATCATAATATTTGCGACATTGCTAAGGTTAGAAAGAACTAAAGGAAGCAAATAAGCAGAAGTTCAGGGTACTCTAAATCAGGAACATATTTAAATTTTATGTATATAACCAATGGTTGCAATTTCTATTCCGGAATTCATCCAACTTCCCAGGTAAGAGTGGAAAACGGGGCAGGTCGGATCGGATATGGTTCGGGTCGAAAACGGGTAATAAAAATGGATAAATTATCTTATCCGGCCTATATTTAATACGGTTAAAAAACGAGTTAACCGGCGGATAATATGAGTAACAATATTATTTATGACTTCTTGAATATAATCACTTTTGGTAGAATTCCTAATCTCCCAAACTTGAGGAACCCCCAATTTGAGGTTTTACAAATGTAAAAGTTAAACCCATTGGTTATCCATTTTCTAAATGAATAATACGGTTCTTATTCATATTTGACCCGTTTTTAAAAAGTTCATTATCCAACCTATTTTTTAGTGGATAATATAAGTGATTAACTGTTTTATTTTAACCATTTTGCCACCACTATTCCCTGGTATTGAAGATTCTGATCTACAAAAATCTCTTTTAAAATATTAACTAAGTGTTCCAATTGATAAAGCCTCTAGAACATAAAGCTTCTATCGTTTACTCCCTTCAATCCATATTATTTGTTTTTTTAAAATGTTTTTACACATTTCTTGAGACTTAATCATAAAGGTATCTGTCTAAATATCTTTCATCTCTTTCTTAAACGTTTTATTTAACTATCACTCCACTAATTGGAGTTGTAGGGATATATTTGGAAAAAAGATACAATAATAAATAACTTCTTGGTTTCTTAAAATATCAAATATCTTAAAACAAATTCAGTTCAAAAACATAATATTTGGAAGTATTCATTATAATCTGGAATTTCTTTAAACACAGATGCAAAGAAAGGACATCTTTCTACTTCACGTTTCCATCAATCTGTTTAAAAAATAACCAAGACGACATATGACCATTGATGATGATAATCCAAGAGGTCGGCCGAGGGCTTAGAATGAGTAAGATAAATAAGTTAAGCAGAGATAAAACAATTAATGGCCCATTATCTCAGTTGGTTAGAGCGTCGTGTTAATAACGCGAAGGTCGCAGGTTCGAGACCTGCATGGGCCAAATCTATTTTGTTTTTCCCTTTTCCCTTTTCCTTAGACATTACCCCTACCCTTACCTAAGCAGGAAATCATCAACTTGTAATTTCCTGTTTCTCTAAGTCGAAGGTACAATTGAAAAGTCACTTTCACTACGGAACAAACTGATTTCCATTGTGAGGTAATGCACATTAGTTTTGGTGATATCATCTTCCATTCACCCAATTTCTTAGTTTCTGGCTTTAAAGATTCAATCATTCTTAGTTTTGGGAGTTTTATTCAAAGTACAGTGCTACTTCTCATTTTACTTAATGGAATGGCTGCTTATGTTTACTTATAATGTCTAATATATGGATGTGAAAGAAAGTAATTAGTATAACTTAGAATGACATTTGTTCTGTGATTCATTGGTCTAATCCCTTTAATCCGCATTCCAATAGGAGACAACATCTTGGCTCTAGTGGAATGAAGAACTGCACATCAATAGCTAATTGAACCACTAACAGAATACAAAATTCAAAATTAAGCTTTTTAAGTGATGCACGCTCGTCTATACAATTTGTATATTATGTTTATGCATATAATACCCACAGATACATGTAATGCTGTGCTTATATTATTAAGCACATCGCATTGCTTGTTTTATTTTGTTTTTTCCACTAGTTATTAAAACTTCTAGAACAGAGTGGCAATGACAGTACCGTGCACTATTTGCAACTCTTTCAATTAAATGGAATTTCAGCACATGTTTAAATCTCTTTCAATATTAGTTTCCATCTCATTTGATAAGTGGACTTTCATCATCAATTCTTTGTCATCTACTCAACTTATATTATTGGGAATTACTTCTGTAATGATCTCTACTTCAAGTACATCGAATAATGGCTGATTTAGGTCATAGGTATCAAAGTTCGACATCCTCAGTGGCCAGTGCCACAGAAATACTAATTTTCTAATAACCAGACCATTGCTTATCCTAAATTATTATATAAACTTATCTGGTTTAAAGCTCAGACTTATTGTTGTAGCAGAAAGACGTGCTTGTAACACTACGTACCTTTCTGAATAAAATCTAGATTTAATATGTGAATATGACTCAATAACTTATGGACTATAATGGTAGTATTAATGTCCCAATCCATGTGTTAATACATGTAGATATATGGTAAGTTAGAGCGTTAGACTATCAGATATAGAATCACTTTCATCTATTTAACCGATGTTTTCACTGATTCTGAATGCTGAAAATAGCATGTTCTTTTGTGTTAGTTGTGAAGGCTGTTTCATTGGAGTATCTTCTTAGGAGCAAAAGTAAAAGGAAGATTTACATCTGATCTAAGTTAAACAGAAATCTTTTGCTCTAATTGTATTTTTTTCTTGACTCCAGTTCCCAGATCTCTGTGTTTCCAAAGGTACTACTCCAACACGTGTAATATAAACAAAAATGAAAACAGTAAAGGTGTTAATAAAAGGTGTAAAGAGATTATAAATCTACTTCTCAAGGAACTTACTTATTTGTCTCATAATTTAATCCACTGATTCAAGAAACAAAAATTATCTGATATGGATATTCTGGAAAATCTTGTCTTATTGACAGGATCAATGTGATAGAAAACTATGCAGTTTGATAGGGTACTCCACATTACCAATACATCCATTTGATCTAAGGAATTAACCAACATGTTTTCAGGTACAGTGCTGTAACTTGATTCATGGCCATTGCCTATTCTTTGGTAAGCAGCAACTCATTTGGTTTCTGAACAGTCAACAAGATCCAACATCGTCGGTTGTTGATCAACCAGGTTGCCAATAATCAGTCCTTAAAATTATTCTTTAACAGTTTCATGTTAATTTCTACAATGTAGTATGTGCTACAAAAAGCTGATTTTATCTGCAGACTGTTCTTTAGTTCTTGCATTACACAGATGCTTCGAAATCGAAGGTGTTTTGATAAACATGCTTAGCTTCTTCATCTCTTTGGCTTTGAATTATATCAGCGGTTTGATGCCTGGTCCAAGGAACTTCTTTTGAGTTATGCAATGTCAACAACTCTATTAAATATCTATGCTGCTTTTTGTCTAAATGTACTACAGGTTAATAAATGTCAAAGTGGATAACTTCATTCAGCACTGACCTTAGTAAATAATAACTTTTTGTTTTATAAAATTGGAGTGCTTACAAGTCCATTAAGCTCTCATGTGCTTAGTGGCATCCCCACTCTTAAGTCCACTAATGTAACTTAGTTTTTCTCATGTATAAATTGATCCAAGCAACACAACACAAGTCAGAAGAATCAGAATTGTTGTTAGCTTTTAATATATACTTGAAAGTTATGGGTCGTAATATGTTCCACTACCTTAGTGTTTTCTTCTGTGTGATCAGTATTCTGGCTCCCTTAACAGTAGGGCAGCTTGATTACAGTTTCTATGAGAGATCATGCCCCAGCTTCCCTAGGATCGTTCGCTGGGGTGTTTGGTCAGCTTATCGTAATGACTCCAGAATAGCTGCAGCCCTCCTCCGTTTGCACTTTCATGACTGTTTTGTAAATGTAATTTCTCTCTACTGAAAGTTGTCACCAGTACATTCACATTCACTTATTCTCTAATAATCATTTTAGCATTATTCTAGAACTGCTACATTTAATTACATACACTAAAAGTAATTCACTATACTTTTCTCTCTTATTTGAAGAGTTATGATGCTAAACTTTTAAGATTGATGCATTGCCAAGGCTTACTTTATCTTACTCTAGGCTTATCTTATCATAGTGTATCCATACCAAGAAGATCTTGTCTAATTGTTAGTGTTTGTTCCTGCTAACACATCAGTGGTTTGACTCTTTTTAAGATTCTTTATGGGGCATATCTTTTATTTTATGCCTTCAAACAACATAAATTTTACTTATGACAGATTGATAATACTTAGTAAAGTATATCTGTTAGGGGACATTCTCTTTTCTGAAATAAAAAAGATGGAAAGAACATGACAACTGACAGCTCTGTTAGCTAAGTTGTGGAGTAGTATTTGATAGTTCTAGAGCAACAAGAGAATCTATTCTATGTCAGTAGGGAACTTGTGATGCTTCTGTTCCACTTGTTAATAGAATTACTTATACTAGTTAAAAATGTTTCTATTATGTCATTGTCTACCCAGTATTGAAATACATTGACAGGTATCTACACTTAAATTTAAATCTAATGCAGCAACTAATCCAATTTGAAGGCTAGAAAGTTGAAAATTAGTATCAGTTTATGCTTTTTGTGCCTTTTGCTTATTATTAGATTGGATGATTGTCACAGGGTTGTGATGGATCAGTGCTTCTTGATGACACGAACGATTTCAAGGGCGAGAAGAATGCTTTACCAAATCGTAATTCAGCACGAGGGTATGAGATAATAGATAGCATAAAAGCAGATCTTGAAAGAGCTTGCCCATCAACTGTATCGTGTGTGGATATATTAACTCTTGTAGCTAGAGAAGTTGTTGTCATGGTAAGTAGCAAGATTCATTTTGCAGATGAGTTAGTATTATAATGCCTAGAAACAAACCAAATATTGATAATTTTCCTTTCTTCGTTTTCAGTCAGGAGGACCATATTGGCCAGTTTTACTTGGTCGACGAGATGGACTAACTGCAAGTGATAAAGCAGCAAATGAACAATTACCTTCACCCTTTGAGCCTTTGGATAAAATCGCTGCCAAGTTTACTGCTAAGGGTCTTGATCTTAAGGATGTAGTAGTTCTCTCAGGTACCTTTAATCTTCTTGAATAAGTATTCATTTCAGATTCAAAGAGTAATTATCTCTCCGTTTGAGCTCAGATTCAAAGAGTAATTTTAGGACACAGGTTTTGAATCCTAGGTGTGACATTCTTGCATTTTTTTGAATCTCTTTGGTAGAGTTCCTGACTCCGCTATTGTCTCTTGTGATATAATAGGAGCACACACCATTGGTTATGCTCAATGTTTCACATTTAAGAGGAGACTTTTCAACTTCCAAAACTCGGGAAAGCCAGATCCAAACCTTGATTCTTCAATGTTGTCAAATTTGCAAAGCACTTGTCCTAACACAGATGGATCCAACAGCAAGATTGCTCCTTTAGACTTTCAATCCGTTACTAGATTTGACAATTCATATTACAGGAACCTTGTGAACAATTCAGGTCTACTTGAATCTGATCAAGCTCTAATGTCAAATTCTCAGACTGCTGATATGGTCAAATCCTACAGCTCGTACCCTTATCGTTTCTACCAAGATTTTGCTGCATCTATGATGAAGTTAGGAAACGTGGGGATACTCACTGAACAAAGTGGGCAAATTAGGAAAATATGTGGCTCTGTAAATTAAAAAAGTACTTGTCTGAACTATGTTTATTTAACTGTTTGTGGGTGATATGATATCATGGTGTGCATTACCAAAATGTTTGTCTCAGTAGCATCTCCTTTTAATGAAGAAAACTTGGTTAATTAGAATATTTAAAGAACAAAAGGTGATATTCCTAATGCTTGACTATCGATGTGCTAAAACATTGGACTCTTGTGTTCTTTATGTCCATGTGCGTATTGATGTGATGTAATTCTCCCCCTTTAATTTAAAGTTTTAAGTTCTTTGAGATAATGGTATTACGTACTACTAGTAATGTTTTCAATATGTATAAGTTGAATTGGACAAGAAAAAAAAAAGGGNACTTACAATGGAGTGTGAGGAAACGTTCGGTGAACCTTAAAGTAACCGGAAGATATCGTATTCCGTCACTCCGCAAGGGGTTGCTTGTTACGCTGAGTTTAACATCGACGATAATGAAACTTTGAGGGATTCTTTGAGGACTCCGGATGAATACCGAAAATTTTTTGTGATAAAAATGTTGGAAATGTACGTCAAGGTTGAAGACGTTCGCAATAATGAGGTTGCGCATAGTAGGGATAACCCTCAGCCATCGGGTGGTTATTCTGGAGCAGTTTTTGCCGGACAGGTTCCGGATGAAAGAGTTTGCCCTGATTTAAACTTATCACCATGGGCGAATGAGGAGCGAGGAAATAATTTCTCTCCTACTTTACATAATCTACAAGACGAGTGGTAAACTTCAATTTTCCTTAGTGTTACGATGCATATTTTTGTTGTATTGAATTTGTATTAACACTCATATATTCCACAGGGGGTACCGGCCAGATATGACTTTTACAAGTTATGAATCCACACCCGGTTGGAATATGCGTAGTTCTGGTGTGTTGGATTATGGTGGTCCATCCGGGAGTCATCGCCAACAGGATAATGTCCATCAAGAAATGTCAACACGTTACGACTTGTAAGTGAAGTGATACATCTATATGGAAAGTATTTATTAATTTCAGTAGCTTATTATTTTGTTGTTTGTGCAGTGAAAATGAGCAAGTTGAACCACCTGTCCTTACTCAATTGCCTGAAGACGACATATTAAATCGGGATCTGGCAGATGCACAGAGTGAGGAAGAGAACAATGATTATGACAACAATGTCGATGATTCCGGAGACGACACACCCTTCCCTCGTGAGGATGGTAACGAGGAGGAAGAGAATGAAGGACCTGATTTGACGAGGGAGTATGCTCCACCCCCCGTTAGACCAAGAGTGTACGAGTCCAAAGTATCGTTTCATTCAAGGAAGATTCCCTACCTTGATAACTTGCCAAGTATGCTGGATGTGGATGCTCTTACAAGGCATTTTAATGAAATTCGAACAGCAATGTGGGATGATTCTAGACCAACGGTGCTGGCAAAGGGCATGCTTTTTCCCGATAAAGCGCGCCTAAGCAGGACGGCAAAAATGCACAACGTAAAAGAGTGTCGTGAGATGACAGTATGGGAGTCAACTCCGGAGGTATACAAGGTTGTTTGCCGCAGATGGTTTACGGATTGTCATTGGATGCTGCGTGCGAGCAAGAAGAAAACAGGTTTGTGGCAAATGGATAAATACATTCCCACCTACAGATGTGAAATGGACACATTCAATGGGAATCACTACAACTTGGATATTGACTTGATTTCTCTTGTCCTTATTCCACACCTTGAAGCATCCATAAGGTATAAAATCAAAGAGTGCATTACATCAGTCCACCAGGAATATGGCCATACCATTACCAAAAGAAAAGTATTTCTCGGGCGCAAACGTGCGTTTGAAATTGTTTATGGTAACTGGGATAAGTTATTTGCAGCTCTACCCAAGTACATGGCCGCACTCCAACATTTTAACCCTGGGACGGTTGTTGAATGGAAGCTTGAGCGGAGTCCGGAAAAACCAGAATATATATTCAATTACATGTTCTGGGAATTTAAACCAGCAATTGATGGTTTTCCGCATTGCCGGCCGGTAATATCCATAGACGACACTCATGTCTATGGTAAGTATGATATCAAGCTGTTGATAGCCGTTGCATTAGATGCTAATGGACAAATATTTCCTCTAGCTTTTGCTATTTGTACCAATGAAAGCCAAGAGACGTGGACGCTGTTTTTGAACCATTTAAAAAAGCACGTTGTCAAACAGCGTTCCGGCATTTGTCTAATATCTGATCGGCATGGTGGTATCTTAAGTTCTGTAGAGAACTTGCCTGCATAGCAAGAACCTTATGCCTACCACCGTTACTGTGTGAGGCACTTTAAGGCCAATTTCCAGAAGGCACATCCCAACAAGGATCTGCATGATTTGATGTGGATGGCAGCAACAGACCACCAAGAGCATAAATTCCGGAGGCACATGGAATCTATCAGGCAGGAAGACGAGAGAGCCTATCATTGGTTGATGCGACATGAGCTTCACAAGTGGACTTTGCATGCGGATGGTGGAAGAAGATGGGGAATTCTGACTACAAATGTGTCAGAGTCTTTCAACGGGTTATTGAAGTCGGCAAGAGGATTGCCTGTCACTGCCATGGTGCGGATGTCGTTCAAGCAGATAGCGGAGAGGTTTGTTGAAAGGGTTGCAGCTGCAACGTCATTGATGGAAAGGGGTGTTGAATTTATGCCACTGCCGATAAAGAAATTTGAGAAATGCAGGCGGCGAGCACATTGGCATTCATTTTTGCAGTATGATCACGACAGAAATATTTTTGAAGTTCGCACCACTATCCATCAAAACTGGGGGAATAATGTACATACCATAAATGAATCTAGAAGGTTATGCTCTTGTGGAAAATGGTCCATCTACCACATGTCGTGCTCACATCCCATCAGGTGCTTTCAACATACAGGTTTAGGGCCAACCAACTACGTTGATAAACAATATAGTGTTACTGCTTACCTAAACACCTATAGTGGGCAGTTGCAGCCAGTGGGGTGCAGAGCATTATTGGCCGCCGGAACCATTTAAAATGGTGTGTAACAAGGACTATTTGCATCGAATACATGTGCAAAAGAGAACGCATATACGGAACCAAATAGATGTTAGCGATACCATTTATGCGCGCAAATGTGGTATATGCTCGCAAACAGGATACGACCGTCGAAAATGTCCTTCGGCTGGTTTGGGTAGCGGTGGTAATCAAGCTCTTGGTGGGTATTCTTCTAATGTGGCCAACTATCAATGAGTTTATGTTGTAATAAGTAGCTGTTTTGTTTATGTTTGCAAGATATATCAAATAAAATTATGTTTCCATTGTTGTTAAATCTTATTGATATTTAACATTTTCTAGTTGAGTAAATTAATGCATTTCTCCCTCCTGTAATCAAAAATAGTATTGGATTAAAAAACGGAAAAATATGTGAATATATTTTATAGATATAGTTGATAAATATAGTTCAAAAATAGTTGAGATAAAGGTAGATTTTTGATAAATATGTGAATACACATAGCGCGGTTAAATACTACGTTATGTGAANTATTGCCTTCCCTATAAATAACGGGCGCATTCTAATTATTTTCTGTGCTTAATAATAACAAATAGCAAAATTTTCCATAAAAGCAAGGTTTTTTTTTTACGCTTTAACAAATGTCTGAACGCCTTTATGTACCAAGGTGCCAGTGCGGCAAAAAATATTTGATGAATGACTGTTGGGATGATGATGAAGTTGGACGCCGCTACTGGATGTGTGTGAACAAGTTTTATAGGGTTTCCGATGAACTTTTTTGCAATTTTGAGGTATGGATTGATGAACCCTGTAAGCAGGAATGCTATAAACGATCTTTGCAGTATCTTTATGATTTGACCTTAAAACAGTGTGAATATGAAAAAGAATATAAACGAGAAATTGCGGAGTTAAAGGAGAAACTGAAAGAGGCAGAATTAGAAAAAAATAAGATGGAAGAGAAATTTAAGTGGTTGGAGCAGAGAATAATGGGCGGCAGTGACTAAACAATGACATGTATGTGTTGAGTATACTACTTTATCTTTATGCTTCCTGTGTCATGTATTTTCATTAGTTGTATTGAATTTAAATTATGTTAAGTTGTTATGTTTTGTGTTTGTGTTGTAGTATTAAAATAAAGAAGGAACGGGGAAATAAAAACATAATGCGCATATTATGTAAACATAAAAAAATTATTGTTATTATTTACATAAAATAATATTTACATAAAATACAAACAAAAAAAAAATCAATGTGTCCCACAGTCTGTGTGCTTCAATGCAGTCGCTGGCCTGAGGCGCATCCCATCCCGCCCGGCTACGCTATTAGGATCATCCTCATCACGGCGCCTCTTTATAGCAGAATGCGCTGCAGCATGATCATCAGTGGTGCTGGCAGGATTGGTAGAAGGGGTCATCGATTCAGTAGAAACCTACAGAAGAATAAGTCAACTCAGTATAGGAAAGTATATATTAAGTCACAACAATTTAAATTGGCTTACCATGGTCTCGTCGGGCTCCTGAATATAATCATCCATTGCAGCCATGTCAGCATCGCACAAATGGGCCTCCGTGACGGTTGGGGATGAAGCCTTAATAAGAAAATTAATAAAGTTATGGAAAATAAATGAGAAAAGAAAAAACAAATTTAAATTTAATACTAATAAAAACATATTTGTGCCTCTGATGATGAGCCATAACTCAGTCGGCGCCCACTATCCAAATCTCGGGTCGGCCGATCCACAGCAGCGGTCGATGACCCTGGAAAGTATGCTTCCCAATCCTCTCTGGTAAGGTCCGTGCCTGTGATCAATAATAGACATGACAGGGTCACCTGCGAAGTCCCTGGGGTGAGCTGCATCCCAAGGCTGTATGACGGCATGCTGGTGGGATACTCGTCCGGCTCATGTAAGTCACCCGACAGATCAGCATCAACATCATCAACAGGGGCCTCAACGCCCCCTTGCTGGGGACCACCTCCTCGCTGCCCACCATGACCCCGTGCGGTGGGGTACCCCCAGCTCGAGGGACAGCCCTGCCTCATGGGGCACCCCTACCTCGAGGGGTACCCCTGCCTCGTGGGGTACCCCTCCCTCGTGCGACACCCCTACCTCACTGGTACTGCTCTGGCGCCACATAAGCAGGGTCGTGTCCCA